GGACGGCTGGATGAACAACCAGTGCATTGACCTCTTTACTAATAATCCATTCTTATATGACTAACCACCAATGTAAAACTGGCCAAAATTGGTCGAGTTTAAACAGAACAAATTTTGACCCAAATAGTCAAATGCTGACTTTCAACAGTGACACAAACCACTCTTTTATGCTCTCATTAGCCTACATTGAAACACATTCGATTCAACCCTATTGGAATAAGTATTGCGGAACACATTATAGTATGCTGTAGGCTATATTGCTGTTTGTTACACTTTTTTTTTTAAAATAATAATTGAGGTGACCTTCTACATGTGCCGTCATGGTAATTTGACTAATTTCCTTGTTACTTGAGTTGTTAATGTAATGTTTGTAGTGTGAAGATGTTGGGTTGTTAAGTGTGAGTAAACTTAGTTTGATGTGAAGAAAAGCTTTACATTGGATAAAGTTGGGTTAGAGAAGATGTATGCAAGCAGAAAAGACACATAAACTCAATGTCTTGACCTTTTAAATTAAGATGTAATATTATTCTCACTTGTATATTTTCTTTTAAAACTATTGGGTGATCCAGCTGTGTTCTCTCCTCTTTTGAGATGCCCCCCGAGCCTAACAAGAGATACTTTTAATGGATGCTAATGGATTTCGGATGCACTTCCTCATCTATTTAAATTATGTTATCCTAAGCAGGGCTGTGGTGCCCCTTATTCAAGGTTTTGAAGATGCTGGTGACCTTACTGCATCAGAAAGATTGAAGACTGCTTTACATGTCAACTTTGTCTTCTATCTACTTCTTGGTGCATTGTTGGCCTTGTCCGACTTATTCTCATTATGATGCCCGAGACGTCGTGTGTATTCATTCCTTGAGCCTTCATTTTTTTGGATGCTGATTTTATTTATTTGTTTGTTTGTTGTTTGCAATATTATCTGTAAGTTGTTGCTGCCTGGGATTTTCCAATCGTTTCCGGGTAAAGCTTTTGATTTTCATTTGAAGAGCATCATGATTTCCTCATAGTTGCCAGCAGAATGCTTGGTTTTGAATTGATTTTCGATAGCATCTGAACTTGCGCATTCATAAAACTATCTTTCTTATTTTTTGTACTTGTGGATGATGAGGTTTTGCACATTACTTTTTTAAAGGCCACAACTGTAACATAGAACTCACTTGTACATGTAATCTGAGACATATTCTTACGCTCTTTCTCTAATTTAGACACTAACTTGTCCTTGTGTGTGTGGTTTTAATAATGGCTTAAAAAACACTTGTTAAAGCAAAACCACTAATTTTCCACAAAGAAATGGTGGAAAAAGATGACGAGGAGGCCTGGAAAGTAATGATTCTCTATCCTTGCACAGGAACTATAACCCTAAACTTTGTTATTTACAAGAATGATTGTTTTAGAAATTAAAATATTTGGTGTCTTTAGTGAAAATTATGGTTTATGTAGAGTTGGAAATACGGGCGGGTTCGGCCCTAAAGGGCCTGAGCCTTAAAACTCAATTCCTCATTTTGAATCTCATTTCTCAAATTCGGCCCTTATGCTTAGGGCTCAGAGCCAGACCCGCAAACCTTTTTTCAAAAATAAAAAAATTAAAATAAAATTAAACATTATAAATTAATTAAAATATTTTGAAATTAAAAAAAATTAAAATCCTTATAATTTTTTTGAAATTAAATAACACACATTTAGAAGTTTAGTAATAAAATTTAAATCTTGATTAAAAAATAGTTCATTTTTTTAATAAATACACAAACATAATAATTATAAAAAAATAAAAAATATCATAAATTTTATACTATATATTGATATTTATTAAGTATTAAATTAATTTTAGAATAAATTAAAATTAATAATAAGATAATGTGTGTAGAATCGGGTGAGCAGGTGATTGGCTTCAAACACGTGTTCAACTAAAAATAATAATAATAATAATATAACAGAATTTGAAGGACCACCCGGGCCCGAGCCTTATTTTACAAGGTTTATCAGGGTCAAGCCCTCAAGCTCAATTACTTTTTAAAAAATTATTTTTAAAACCTAAACACTTATTTAAATAAGACTTCCAAGCTTAATCTTTTAGATTTGGTCCTTATTTCCTACTTTAGGTTTATGTCCCACGACGCCAACACATCAATATATTACTATATATATAATCTAAAAATAACTAGATTGGTCCACTAGCGTAAAAAAGGTTCTCTAAAGCTGCGCCCTTTTAAACTGTTTGTTAGGAAACCAGTTGAAAATAAGTGCGGTGACAATTTCATAATTAAATTGTCTGGCTAATGGGCTTTTTAAATTGATTATTAAAACAACTAATTTTAAAAATATGAACCTGTCTAAAACTTGAATTATTTTACACAGCTCCTTGACAAGCTGAATAGAAAGACAAACAAATTAAAATATGAAGCTACCCTTCCGTGCTTTTAAAATAATATTTAACACAAGATTTCCCTTTTGCATCTGCCTAGGCTTTTTTTTTTTAAAAAAAATATTTTTGTCATTTCGCTTCCCCTTCCGTGCTTCAACCTTCAAGACGGCCTCATCTTCAACCTTTCATCTACTCCTTCTGTCTCTCGCTCTCTGCGTTCTACAGTATCTTCTTCCTCTCTTTTCATGCCTTGGTGAAATGTGCAGATATTGGACCTCTCTCAGTTTTCTCTTTGATATTATCTATTTATGCGTCGTCCCTTTTCTTCTTGTTATCATTCTGACGCATGTACATCTCTATGCCCTTAAATCTCAATGACGCCTGCTCGATGGGCATTAGAGGGGAAAGGAGAGCTAGCTTGCCCTTAAATCTCAAATCTCATCACTTTGGTGATCCCCTCAAGAAAGGAGCTCACAAGTGATGTGGAGAGTGAGAAATTGAGAGGAGTCAGATGATGGATTTCAGACAAGAAGAGAAAGAGAAGACCCAAAACCAACATGGTGATGCCGAAGCTAGGGGCTGATGAAGGGGTGGCGGAGGTGCAACAATGGAGGGTGGAGCCACTCACACTAGTGCTGGGTAGGGGTAGGGTGGATCTAAGAGTTGAAGATTGAGGGGGTGCGAAAGAGAGATAATGTTGGATTCCACCTTAGAGTTGTCCTATTCTATAGGGTGGATGGGTGGATTCTAATTCTGAGAGTTTTGATGGAATTGGAATCCATATAGAATTGGTTTCCTACGTACCAGACTCTCCAAAATAACAATTCCTATTCTGTTTTCATTTCCCTTCTTTTGATTCTCGTGTACCAAATACTGCATATATAATATTCTAAACTGATTAATCATAATTTCTACCTAAGTTAGTTAAACTCGTTGGAGCCAACAAATTCCATCTTTAACATTAAAATAATTGATTTCCATCATAAAACCCAATAATCATTCAAACACTAACTTCTAATCATCCTAAAACATCAAATGTAGGAAATGTAAACTGATTAAATCCTTAATCTAACACAAAACACTCGTTTAAACCCAAATCATTCAGTGGAATCGTTGGAAAATTTGGACTCCTCAAACCTTAGATCCCCAAACAACTCTAAAGCCTGAAAATCATAGCGAGGAGGGTAGAAAATCAAGTTGGGAGCCTTACCTTAGTGATTAAAAACCCTAATCTAACCTGAAATAGTTGAGATTTTGTGTCCTAGCAGAAGCCAAGTCGCCACCTCTTTGAACTCTAGCTTCCCTATCTAATTTTTAGTTTGAAGTTTTGAACGACATTTAGAATCTAAATCCTGATCATGTTCGGCATCAGACATGCCTTGTTATTTCTGTATCCAGCACCAGATACAGTCACTTATCTGACTCTTGTGCCTTTTGTCTATGTTCATGAACGGACAAAGCTTTTCATATTGTATCCGCAAATGGAATCAAACGGGGCCACCAGTTCCTTGCCTCTGTCTAGATCTATGGATGGATAGAGTCCTCTCTGATGTATCCGTGGCTAGACACAAACAAAGGGTCCAAAACTCACCTTAATTCAATCCTGTGCCTTCCCAAACTATCCAAACACCTAATAAACCTAAAAAAAAAAAAAAAAATCAAACATAGCAGTACAAAATTCAGCTTAAACACTCCCAAGTCTCATTTAATCCAAACCAAACAATCAATTATACAAAGAATAAAATTTGGAATGCTACACATTCAACCATTATTATTATCAACTCACTTGCACTCAAAATTTGAAATTTGGAAGGTGATGCAATCCTACTTCCAAATGTGTTCAATTATCCTGAAATATGACGTTTTCAATAGATGATTTTCTTGTCCTTGTCGCTTGAAATGTGCATGGAGTCAATTACAAAAGTTACACTACTATTTTACACTATGCTTAGATCATCATTTCCTTTTGTATATAATGTGTATCCATTGCTAACATAGCTAATGTAATAAAGAACTTGCTTATTGGGTCTAATTGCTAACCATCTCAATCTGTTAGAAGTTGAACTACGATTGATATTATACATACAATTAATGTTGATCGCTCCTATGAGTGTATGAGATCAATATAATAATATTTTAGGAGTTGAATCTAGAGGAAAGCATCAATCTTTGTTATTTTATAGAAGCAAATAACTTTTAAAAAAAGAGAAGTAATAATTAAAAGTAATTGAATGCAAATAAAGAGCAATAAAAATGAATGAACTAACCAATCAAATGAGTGCTAGAGATTAGGATTCACATCATGAGATGACTTATTTTAATTTAGTTAATTATTTCCCTTAAGTTATAGTGATAATTGTTTCTAAAATATCTTAATTACCTTCTAGTATATTAGGGAGTGTCTAACTAGCATTGAATTGGCTCCTATCTAACTCAAAGGCACTAATGAAACTTTGAAGCTACGATTTAAGTCACAATAGATTATAAATTATTTTTAATTTAGTTACATGTGTCTGTCTTTCTAGGCTTAAATAAGTTCTTTACTTTTCATTTCATTAAACTGCTCACAAATATATCATATAACGGTCATCTATATTATAAGACAAATAAATCAAAGAGATAAATATAAACCGGAAACCAAAAGAGGGAATATTATATATGGACCTTTCCCTCACCATAAGAGAGGTTTGAAACAGGGTATAATATAGCCTTGTAAATGATTTCAACTCATCCCAATTGGGAGGGGGGGAGGCGAGTTCAAACTGTACCATTCTGCTTGCCATATTCTCAATTGATGGTCAAAAAGAACGAAAGCAATAACGTATAGGGAAACTCTTCCGCATACGTCTTGATCAGATAGAACGGAGGCAATATATGAAAAGAGCCTCGAGAAGGGAGAATCCAATAGCTCCCAAAACTGTAAACCAGTAGACTGGAATCTCAAAACTGCCCCGGATTATGACGTTGACCTGATGAGGTGCCGTTCTCAGTAGCGGCTCCCCAAAGAAATAGACGAGGGTTAACAGAAGCTTCCATGTGGCCTTCTTACCACGGAATGGCTTATTGAAATAAATAACACTTGCCCATAACATCAAGAAAAAGCTCATTGGTACCATGTCCCTTGTAGACTTGATAAAGGCATCAGCTAGTGATACCGTGGAGTTCTCACTAGTGCTCATAGATTTGTAGTTAGCAAAGAAGTCATAATTTGCCGCTTTCATTAGCTCGCCACCGAAGTTGAACACGATCAAATGAAAGGGTTGCACTTTATCTGGAATAACACAGGAGAAGTAGTGTGGCTGAGATGTGTCTTCCAGCAGGTCGTGCTGGGAAACAGGTAGGGCATTTGTTTTCTTTCTTCTCTGTCAACAGCAAGTAACCAAAAGGATTATCTGTTGAAGAGATGAAACTAGCATAGAGTAATAATGAATGACATTGTCTATGATGACCAAAGTAAATTACACATGCAAAATTTAGGTGGAGAACTCTCCCTCAGGCTTTGTCGTCTTGTTATTCTGCGACACTTTTAAGGTGCCAGACCAATTATTTTGAGGGTCGTTTCTGCGCGATAGTTTCCGCTTATGGTTTCGAGCACAGGTCCTTATCACTTGATGAGCATGTTTTATATTTTGAAATTTTATTTTTACATTTTTATTTTATATTTATCATAAAAATTATAAAATTTTAATAAATCTATCTTATCATTAAATTGAATAATAAAGATTTAATCTAGATGATCGAGTTTAATATTAATTTTTTTATAATTTTTATACATTAATTATTTAGATGTATTTTGGACAGTGTAAATTTAATTTTAAACTTTTTCTAAATTTTTTTAGTACATATAATATTAAAAATTGAAAATAAAGATAATCTTCAAATTGACACTTTTAAAAAAATCAAGAAAAAGTTACTATTTATAAAAATTATAAAAATATTTAATATTAAATTAAATTATTTAGATTAAATTTGTATTATCCATATTGATGATAGAATAAATTTATTATTATTTATAATTTTTATTTTAAAAAATATTAAAAAAACCTATAAATCTGGAGTGTTCTCATTTTTAAATTACTAATCATGTGATGAGCATCAAAAGAAAAGTCTTTGTATTTGTATAAATCAATCCATTACTTTTAAAGGCTAGGGTCTCTAATATACATTTCTTTAATGTTTTTTTTTGCAATATCCTGTTTTCTCAAAATTTTTTTAGATCATTGATTTCTACCTAAAATAAGAGATATGTTGACATTTGCTTGAAGTCCCCAAATAGAAGACCTTTGCTTTCTTTTTTTCAATGATTTTTTAAAATAAAAACATGAAACTTACACACTTTTATTTTTTAAAAATATAAAAAATGCAAATCTATTTCATTTCAAGATATTAAAATATCTCTTATTTTATGAGAAGTCAATTATCTAAAAAAATTGGAAAGATGAGATATTATAAATGATATTAGAGAAATGCACATTCGTATTGTTAAAAAGAAAAAAGAAACAACGAAAGAGTATAATAAAGACAAAGATGGGTAGAAATATAAAAAGAATAATTAAACTTTAAGGTTGTTAAGTGGAAGAAATTATGATAAAAACAAAGATATTTAGTGTAAAATATAAGTAGCTTTTAAAAATAATTTGTATATTAATAAAATTTTTATTCTCATAAAAATATTTATTTTTTTTCTTTTTTCCCTTCAATCCCAACTGCGAATGATGAGTGAGAAGAATATTATGAATTCACACAAGAATAATTCAGGTTAAAAAATAAATGGGTAAAATGAGAAAAATATCTACAACTATTAAGTTGTTTATATTTTGAACCAATATTAATTAAAAGAAAAGGTTATATTTTGAAATGGAAGGATTAACAATTAGGCGTGGGAAAGATGTTCTTGCAACTACTTGCTAGCTACTTTTCTAAGATTAAGCAAATTAGTTAAACTTAATTAAATATTAATAACTTTTTAAAACAGTCCAAAATTATCCTTTGATTGGTGGCTTATTGAGCAAAAGAAGATGAAAAAAAATAGTATAGATAGGTCAGAGCATTTTTGGAAATTAATTATAAATGAATAATAAATATAGAACTTGAGGGAATATAATGTTATCATAGATGACCAATATCCCGAATATGGATAGAACGATCAAGTTAAAGGTGAGGAGAATGTTCATTATTGTTGACGAATGTAATGAATGGATGGTAAAGGGATGTGGTCTTTCTAAATCTGTGTCAAGTATGTTCGGATCAAATAAGATGAATTGAAAACAAATGAAAAGAAATTCAAATTTAAATTACACAAAAGAGACCAAGCTAGAAGGATGTAAAGTAAACAAAGAGAAATACAGTTGTTGATTTTTATATTTTTAGCCTATTTTGAAATTAATTACTCAAGTTTTATTCATTGCTCTAAGCCCTCTTAAGTATCATTTGTTTGCAATGTTAGTCCTTATCATCATTGATAGAGTTAAATTTACTGATATATACATAACTCTATCAATTCTATGTTTTAATAAAATTATTATATGTTGGAAATAGATGAACGAAATAGCCACCAACCTTTCTGTTTGTTTGCCCTAATTTCTAAAGATTCATTCATTTCATATTTAAGAATTCTTATTTAATATTCTTTTTTTTTTGCCTTCTGCTCATTTTTTATGCAACTTTGAAAAAAATTAATCATTTAGTTCATGTAGTTTTAATTCATTTATAACTTAATCTCTAAATTTTAATTTATTGTAACTTAGTTCTTAAAGTTTTAACTCTGTTCTAACTCAATTTGTAAACTTTGACTCTTACAATTCAATCCTTATATTTTTAATCATTTAAATATTAATCCCTACATCTTAAAAAATAAAATTATAAAGATTAAAATTATGTTAACATTTATTACTAATATTTTAAATGACTAAACCCTTTTAATTTTTATAAATATTTTAAATATTAAATTTTAAAATATTTTTAACCTTTATAATTTTATTTTTTAAAATATAGGGACCAATATTTAAATGGTTGAAACTATAAGGACTGAGTTGTGAGAGACAAAATATAGAAATTAAGTTATAATAAATTAAAGTTCAAAGACCAAATGATTAATTTTTTCAAATGTTAACAAGTCAATACAATAAGTAATAATAGAGTCCTTATAGTCAAATTTCAAAATATATGGACTAATGTTGTAAACAAATAAACTTAAGAGACTCGGAGCAACAAATTAAAAGTACAAGTAATAATACCAAAATACGCTAAAAGCATAGGGATCAAATTAAATTTATATTTTTTCATAAATAAATAAATAAATAAAAGAGAAAGGGATATGTAACAAAATAACTTACTAATTAATTAATATGGTTACCTTTCTCATGATGCCCTGTACAACTGCTAATACACCTCGAGGAAAAGCTCCATCTTCATCGTTTGTGCCCATTCCTTGGTCATCATCATTTGTTTCCCACTGACTGATGTCCGTTTCGTCGTTGTTGGGTGTTTCAGATGATCCCTTTATAATAGGGTGCAATTTAGATGTGTAGGCGTGGAATTGTTAAGGAAGACATTTACAAATGAAGAGGGTAAATGGAAAGAAAAACATTCACAGCTTGCCTGATCAAAGTGTTTTAAGACACATGAACTTTGGAATATACTTTCTCAGACAACTGCAAAGGGACTAGATTCGTTACCTCAACAACAGTTGAACTGCCGATGTTGTTTTCCACATCCTGGCTCTGCAAATGTTTCTATCACAGTTATTCACACATGAAATGGAGTATTATTCAGCATCATGTACAAATATGTGTAGTAACATCATAAGTGATTTTTTGTATTTACATATATAATTTTCCCATTTATTAAATAATTAAAATATAATCCTAAGTTATTAAAAGTTGATGATACACACACAGACATGTATGCATGCTAGCTAGCATTGGTCATTTGCATGCATAGGTCTGTTTGGTTGTTTATTTCATTAAATTTTTGTTTTTAAAAATTGTTTTATAATATAATTTTTAAAATTATTTTTCAAAACAAAACAAAAAGAAATTATGTTTAGCTATGTCAATTTAAAAACAATTTTCGCTAGTAATTAATAGTAGTGACTCATGATAATCATTAGTCTAGATGTATTTTAAAAAAAAGAAATATAAAATCAAAATAGCTGCAAGATGCTTATATTTTAAAAAAAATAAAAAATGAAAATAGTTTTAAAAATAATTAAACTCAAAATATTTATTGAAATGGGTTTTTTTCTCTTATTTTTTAAAAACAAACAACTATTTTTAAAAACAGAAACCAAATAGGCTTTTAGGGTCTGTTTGGTTTCTGTTCTCATTTCTTATTTTTAAAAATTATTTTATAATATAGTTTTTAAAATTATTTTTAAAACAAAATAAAATAAAAATATATTTGGTTATATCAACTAAAAAATAATTTTAGAATTAAAAAATGACTGACAGTAATGATTATAGTAGTTAATGATGATGATTAATAATATAAATTGATGAAAGTAACTATAATTTTTAATAATTAAATTTAATAGATTTTTAAAATAAGAAAAATAAAACGAAAACAAAGCTGTTTTCATTTTTTTTGTTTTTTTTTTAAAATGAAAAACAGTTTTTAAAAATAATTAAATGAAAAGCACTTATCCAAATAAATGTTTAAATTTTTTTATTTTCAAAAACAAAAAATAATTTTTAAAAACAGAAAACAAACAACCCCTTTGAATGGCTGTTTATTGCTTCTGAGATTTGATTCAGAAAGCAACAATGATGACGATGAATACAAGTGTTGTAATGTCTAGAGTTTTGCGTGTTTAAACATCAGCATATGATCCAAGAGTTAGTTTGTTAGATATGCAAAGTAGGAAAAGGTGGTGACTTGTACGTTCCTCACAAGGGGAAGCATTTGGTTCACTTGCTAGCCCTATTGGACAACCAGGCCTGTGACTCTCAATTAGCTGTGGAATAAACATAGTTGACACTTTTTGGACTATAAATCTCATGAGTCACTTCTTCAAAGAGATTCAATAATTTTCATCCTTTTTTTCTCTTCACCTTATTTTTTCCCGGAACCATAGTTTTGTTCATAGTAACGAACTAACTAATTAATCGTACACGCAAACCCATGATAAATTGAAGAGGATGTGATGTTACCGTTTTCCAGAAGCTGTGTAATTCGTTCTGAGGATGCCTTTCTTGGGTATGGCGCCATTCCAGCACACGGCGAAAATGATGAAAAAGACGACGACGTTTTTCTTCTTCTTCCTTCTGTTCATGAAGCAAAGGGTCATTACAAAATAAAACCACAAAAAAGAACAAATAAATCATAATCTTGTATGAAGGTTAAAAATAAAAAAAAACATAATCTTGTATGAATATGAGTAAATTACTGGAGCTAAATAAATTATTAGAAAATTTCCTCTCTCTATATATATATATATTATGGTTTAGAGGGACTAAAATACAAAATTGTTTGTGTTCGTGGTTGAACAATAGATACAAGGTGTGCCAGAGATGCTGAGTCTCTAGATAATGAAAAGGGTCCCGAGTTCCCTTACTACAGTTCGCTCGGATGTAAAAAAATATAAAGCTTTAGTAGAACAAGTGTATGATTTTATTAAGGTGTAAAAGATTACAAACTTAAAAACTAAAAACTAAAAAGAGCTAACGAATGTAAAATGTGCTAGTCTTGATGGAGTGTTGACTAGTCTCCTCTATATTTTGTTCTTTCTATTTATAGTGTCAGAATAGCGGAAGCCTTTTACTTGGAACTTAGCATATTCTGCCGAAGAATCAGGAATCTCGCGAAACTTATGGCACGGTCTCTCCCTTTTGATAATTAGCCCATTTCATCAAACTATTTGAGCATAGTTTTTGGCATTACTTATGATCGTGTTTTCATGCCAATGGTCTAATATTTGCAACTGACAGGATTTTGGCATGTTTACTTGTTATGGCCTTTATAGAACTTCAGGGCTGGCCCTTTTTGTTTATATTGAGCCTGACGCTTCAATTATTCAGTCCAACTAGTCTTGTGACCTATTTGAGTGACGTTTCATATTTAGTCCAAATAATGCCCCCTGCGTGCCAATGGCTGGTAATGTAAGCCACGTGACACGTTTGAAAAAATTAAAACGTCGCTTCACTTCTAAGCGCTCTCGGTCGATATAAGGTTGTTTCTTTATTCTGGTCACTTCTCTTGCCCTCTTTGCCGTTTATTGAACTTCAAGTTTTCAGTCCGCTGCATTTTTCTTGCCCCAACTTTCAAATGGCTTCCTTCTCTCTTGCCATTTCTCATTCTGCTGGTAGTTTGCCAGATTCTCCAGCGATTATCCAGAACCCAGTTAACCCACTTAGTAGGCTCGTGATAGTGTATATTTAGTGGTTTGAAAAATCTTTTTTCCCTTTAGATTGGTTTCCTATTCTAATAGTCATTCATTTCTTTTCAGGAGGATTCATCATTTCACAAATCAGTGACTTTTTGGTAAGTTTCTTGCTTTTCACGTTTAGCCCTTCTATTTTATTGAAAAAATATTCTAACGATGCTTCATTTTTTCCAGCACTTTATCTTGAGTTTCCAAATCTCTAACAAGAGTAATGTCAGGTATTTGACAATCTCTCCTGACTTGTCCGAAGTCACCGCCCTCACTCAACCAAACCTATGGCCACTGCCCTCTATTCGCAACTTAATCTTGGCCCGGACGACCTTGCCCTTCCCGGGTTGTCTTGCAGAAAGCTTAGAAACTGACCCTAGTCGCCTCGTGCTTGGGTTAACTGGGTGAGGCATTTGAAGTTAGAACATACACCTCAGTGGAAGGAAATGGGTCTATATGACTTGATCCAGTTATCTCTAGCCGATGTCGACGTCCTCGTGGAGCTTTTAACAGCACTCCTCAACTTTTGGGCCCTGGCCTACAATGCCTTTATCTTCAACTTAGCCCGATGTCCCTTATACTATGGGATGTTTTCATGTTCTTGGGGTTGCCTATCACCGGGGAGGAGAACTTCTACACGATCTCTGAGAAGCACGACTCCTACACCGCCCTCCCTGTTGATTTGGAGAGTAAGATCAAGAGCGCGGGCTCCTATACGAAGATTATGGAGCTATTTTCTGAGAAGCTAGCCTCTGAGCCTGTCACTGCTATGAAGTATCTGGTCTCTATATGGATTTTACTGAGCCAATGGATCCTAGCCTCGTGGGGAGGGAAGCCCGTATAACTGTACCTAAGGATCACCCAGTCCTTGCTCTACGGCAACTAAATAGCCTTAAGGACTATTTTTGTGCCGTCTCTACGATGGCATGAGGGAGTCGCTAACCAAGAAACCCTTCAAAAACTTTTATGGGCCTGTTTGGTTTTTGAAGTTATGGACGACAGTCAACTTCCCCAATCTTTAGTAGGAGCCATTTCCAGATAATTCCTGTGCCAACCACCCCTTCACTTGTCTCCTAGATGGTCATCCGCTAGCTGAGTTAAAGAACTTCTTCGAGTTCATCTGTCAGCAAAGATGGTCTTTGAGGAGGACCTTAAAAGCTTTTAACATCCTCGATAGCCGCCTTCCCACCTGGTACAAGTATATGGTGGAGAAGAAGAACAAGCTCGCCAAGCCCTTGAGAGATGAGATCTTCCTTTCGGCCACCACTCCTTAAAAGATGTGGCTGTCGTACACTAACTCCTCCTCCAAGTCTCTCAAGGTATACTTGGAATCTTACCATCCTCAACTGGTGGCAAGCCAGTTTGGACTGAGCCAATGCATCCCTCGAGCCTATCCCCCCAAATTAGCGTGGAGCTGCTGGATAGGGAGGCTATCGACCATATAGCCATTCCACTCACCACTCAGAGGTAGTGTAAGGTAGAACTTGTAGATAGAGATGCCTGCCTCTGCTTCAACAAATGGTGGCCTCAGCGCTTTAGGCATATAATAAAGATCCATACCAGTAAATATTATCTCCCACATTTCTCTTAATTTTATCCTTCTTATTTTGTACCCTATACTAAACCTACTTTGCTTTTTATATGTCGTAATTGGACACAATCTCATGCACGAATGACATTCTTGAGGGGGAACATTGATGCCCCCGCTATTTTTGAGACCCAGACAGCCCCCTCCTTGAGGACTGTAGTTCAAGGGATGGAGCAAGACAACGCTTCCTCCCAAGTTTTTGCTCCCTCGGTCTCCAGAAAGCTTAGGGCTAAGAAGAGCTCCTCTAGTCATCCTAATAAAGGAGATGTTCCTAACAAGAGAAAGCGGGCCCCATCTCCATCACTTGAAGCTAAGAGGAGGAGGAAGATGATGCCCCCTCCACTTGACCAACCTTATTCTACTCCTCTCCTGATCGGCCTCACGCTCAGAAAGGAAAGTGCACACATAAGCGCCAACGGATGATGATCCTGTAAGTAGATTCTGACGATGGCAGGGTGAGTCTTGTTCAACAAGGGGAGAAAGAGAACCAACTCTTAAATCTCCAAATGGTCACTTTCCATGCCGCTGCCACTCCTGAGCCAACACCCATGGACCTAATTAAAGTCGCTCAAGAGGTGACCCAAGAGGTGACAGAATGTGATGAAGGTCTGGGAGTTGTCTTGTTTACTACAGCTCCAGGCTATTCAGAAGACATTGGGGCCACCCTTGATCAAAGAGAAGGTTTCGCTATAGCCCTGAGTGATAAGTTGGAGTTTGGGGTCTAAGGTCCTGCTGCTACTGAGGGCCCCCAAATGGTCTCCCTAATTAGTTTGATCCTTCCCTCCCACTTATCAAGTATTCAAGAAGTTAAGAGCTTTGAGAGATCCTTGGAGGCAATCTAGATGACGTCTGTGAGTGACGCTTTGGTTGCTCTGGTCCCTCCTTAAGGTGGCTCAGTACGGGGTCAAGCTGACTCTTCCACTCTTACGAGGTGTGTGGAGAAGGCTATGCGCTGGTCTGCACATACTCCTCCTCCTTCCACAAGCAAAGACAAAACACTCGTGGACCTAATTCAGATATAATCTTGTTTAGCTTTTCTTTCTAGTCCTTTCAATTTCTCCTTGGTCTTCGTTGCTGACCTTACTTTGTTTTCTTCAGCTGACTGCACTAGAGGCAGTGCCCACTGACGCCCTCCTATCCCACATTTGCATCCCTAAAATGGACATTGTGTTGGATGCTTAGAGGGTCGTACAGTTCCAACTCAGCTGCGATCCATTCCTTATCTCTGAACAAAATTTTGAGGACATGATCCGAGCTCTTGAAGCTGTGAAAAAGGTGATCTCCATGTCTGAGTTGGCGCTCCTATGAGCTCAAGTCCTACCATGTTATGGCATTATTAACCAGTGCCGTAAAAAACTCCCCCTCCTGTCAGAGTATTTGAAGAATAATTTGTAAGTGAGGGACGAATATTTGGTTGCCAGGATCCGGACAACTGTTGGTACTGATCGGGTCTAGGAGATGAAAGGGTTGCAGTTTATCTGAAATAACACAGGAGAAGTGGTGTGGCTGAGATGTGTCTTCTAGCAGGTCGTGCTGGGAAACAGGTAGGGCATTTGTTTTCTTTCTTCTCTGTCAACAGCAAGTAACCAAAAGGATTATCTGTCAAAGAGATGAAACTAGCATAGAGTAATAATGAATGACATTGTCTATGATGACCAAAGTAAATTACACATGTAAAATTTAGGTGGAGAACTCTCCCTCAGGCTTTATCGTCTTGTTATTCTGCGACCCTTTTAAGGTGCCAGACCAATTATTTTGAGGGTCATTTCTGTGCGATAGTTTTCGCTTATGGTTTCGAGCACGGGTCCTTATCACTTGATGAGCATGTTTCATATTTTGAAATTTTATTTTTATATTTTTATTTTATATTTATTATAAAAATTATAAAATTTTAATAAATCTATCTTATCATTAATTTGAATAATAAAGATTTAATCTAGATGACCCAGTTTAATATTAATTATTTTATAATTTTTATAAATTAATTATTCAGATGTATTTTGGACAGTGTAAATTTAATTTTAAACTTTTTCTAAATTTTTCTAAATTTTTTTAGTACATATAATATTAAAAAAATGAAAATAAAGATAATCTTCAAATTGACACTTTTAAAAAAATCAAGAAAAAGTTACAATTTATAAAAATTATAAAAATATTTAATATTAAATTAAATTATTTAGATTAAATATGTATTATCATATTGATGATAGAATAAATTTATTATTATTTATAATTTTTATTTTAAAAAATATAAAAAAAACCTATAAATCTGGAGTGTTCTCATTTTTAAATTACTAATCATGTGATGAGCATCAAAAGAAAAGTCTTTGTATTTGTATAAATCAATCCATTACTTTTAAAGGCTAGGGTCTCTAATATACATCTCTTTACTGGTTTTTTTTTTTTTTTTGCAATATCCTGTTTTCTCAAATTTTTTTTAGATCATTGATTTCTGCCAAACATAAGAGATATGTTGACATTTGCTGGAAGTCCCCAAATAGAAGAGCTTTGCTTTCTTTTTTTTCAATGATTTTTTAAAATAAAAACATGAAACTTACACACTTTTATTTTTTAAAAATATAAAAAATGCAAATCTATTTCATTTCAAGATATTAAAATATCTCTTATTTTATGAGAAGTCAATTATCTAAAAAAATTGGAAAGATGAGATATTATAAATGATATTAGAGAAATGCACATTCGTATTGTTAAAAAGGAAAAAGAAACAACGAAAGAGCATAATAAAAACAAAGATGGGTAGAAATATAAAAAGAATAATTAAAGTTTAAGGGTGTTAAGTGGAAGAAATTATGATAAAAACAAAGATATTTAGTGTAAAATATAAGTAGCTTTTAACAATAATTTGTATATTAATAAAATTTTTATTCTCATAAAAATATGTATTGTTTTTCTTTTTTCCCTTTAATCCCAACTGCCAATGATGAGTGAGAAGAATATTATGAATTCACACAAGAATAATTCAGGTTAAAAAATAAATGGGTAAAATGAGAAAAATATCTACAACTATTAAGTTGTTTATATTTTGAACCAATATTAATTAAAAGAAAAGGTTATATTTTGAAATGGAAGGATTAATAATTAGGCGTGGGAAAGATGTTCTTGCAACTACTTGGTAGCTACTTTTCTAAGATTAAGCAAATTAGTTAAACTTAATTAAATATTAAGAACTTTTTAAAACAGTCCAAAATTATCCTTTGATTGGTGGCTTATTGAGCAAAAGAAGATGAAAAAAAATAGTATAGATAGGTCAGAGCATTTTTGGAAATTAATTATAAATGAATAATAAATATAGAACTTGAGGGAATATAATGTTATCATAGATGACCAATATCCCGAATATGGATAGAACGATCAAATTAATGGAAAATTGATAGAATGTTAAGCAAATTAAGGAAGAAGGTGAGGAGAATGTTCATTATTGTTGACGAATGTCATGAATGAATGGTAAAGGGTGTGGTCTTTTTAAATCTCTGTCAATTATGTTCGGATCAAAATAAGATGAGTTGAAAACAAATGAAAAGAAATTCAAATTTAAATTACAAAAAAGAGACCAAGCTAGAAGGATGCAAAGTAAATACAGAGAAATATAGTTGTTGGTTTTTATATTTTTGGCCTATTTTGAAATTAATTACTCAAGTTTTATTCATTGCTCTAAGCCCTCTTAAGTATCATTTGTTTGCAATGTTAGTGCTTATCATCATTGATAGAGTTAAATTTACTGATATATACATAACTCTATCAATTCTATGTTTTAATAAAATTATTATATGTTGGACATAGATGAACAAAATAGCCACCAACCTTTCTGTTTGTTTGCCCTAATTTCTAAAGATTCATTCATTCATATTTAAGAATTCTTATTTAATATTCTTTTTTTTTTGCCTTCTGCTCATTTGTTATGCAGCTTTGAAAAAATTAATCATTTAGTTCATGTAGTTTTGATTCATTTATAACTTAATCTTTGAATTTTAATTTATTGTAACTTAATCCTTGAAGTTTTGACTTGGTTATAACTCAGTCCCTAAACTTTGACTCTTGTAACTCAATCCTTATATTTTTAATCATTTAAATATTGATTCCTATATCTTAAAAAATAAAATTATAAAAATTAAAATTATGTCAACATTTATTACTAATATTTTAAATAACTAAACTCTTTTAATCTTTATAAATATTTTAAATATTAAAAGTTTAAAATATTTTTAGCCTTTATAATTTTATTTTTTAAAATATAGGGACCAATATTTAAATGGTTGAAACTATAAGGACTGAGTTGTAAGGGAAAAAGTATAAAAATTAAGTTATAACGAATCAAAGTTCATGGATTAAATGATTAATTTTTTCAAATGTTAACAAGTCAATACAATAAGTAATAATAGAGTCTTTATAGTGATATTTCAAAATATATGGACTAATGTTGTAAACAAATAAACTTAAGAGACTCGGAGCAACAAATTAAAAGTACAAGTAATAATACCAAAATACACTAAAAGCATAGGGATCAAATTAAATTTATATTTTGCCATAAATAAATAAATAAATAAAAGAGAAAGGGATATGTAACAATATAACTTATTAATTAATATGGTTACCTTTCTGACGAAGACCTCTACAGCTGCTAAAATGCGTTGACGAAAAACTCCATCTTCATCGTTCGTGCCCATTCCTTGGTCATCATCATTTGTTTTCCACTGACTGATGTCCGTTTCGTTGTTGTTGGGTGTTTCAGATGATCCCTTTATAATAGGGTGCAATTTAGACGTGTAGGCGTGGAATTATTAAGGAAGACATGTACAAATGAAGAGGGTACATGGAAAGAAAAACATTCACAGCTTTCCTGATCAAAGTTTTTAAGACACATGAAATTAGGAATATACTTTCTCAGACAACTGCAAAGGGACTAAAGTCGTTACCTCAACAGCAGTTGAACTGCCGATGTTGTTTTCCACATCCTGAAATGGGCTCTGCAAATTTTTCTATCACAGTTATTCACACATGAAATGGAGTATTATTCAGCATCATGTACAAATATGTGTAGCAACATCGTAAGTGATTTTTTGTATTTACATATATAATTTTCCCATTTATTAAGTAATTAAAATATAATCCTAAGTTATTAAAAGTTGATGATACACACACAGACATGTATGCATGCTAGCTAGCATTGGTCATTTGCATGTATAGGTCTGTTTGGTTGTTTATTTCGTTAATTTTTTGTTTTTTAAAATTTTTTTACAATATAATTTTTAAAATTATTTTTCAAAACAAAATAAAAAGAAAATATGTTTAGAAAAGCAGTTTTTGCTAGTAGTTAATAGTAGTGACTCATGATAATCATTGGTCAAGATGTATTTTAAAAATAAGAAATATAAAATGAAAATAGCTGCAAGATGCTTATATTTTTTTTAAAAAATAAAAAATGAGAATAGTTTTAAAAATAATTAAACTCAAAACATTTATTCAAATGAGTTTTTTTCTGTTGTTTTTAAAAATAAAAAACTACTTTAAAAAACAGAAACCAAATAGGCTCTTAGGGCCAGTTTGGTTTCTGTTCTCATTTTTTATTTTTAAAAATTATTTTATATTATAGTTTTTAAAATTATTTTTAAAACAAAATAAAATGAAAATCCATTTGATTATATCAATTAAAAATAATTTTGGAATTAAAATGAACTGATAGTGATAATTATAGATAGTTAATGGTGATGATTATAGATATCCCAAACAGTTTGACTACACACCATGATTATTTTTTAAAAAGTGTGCGTTTGTTATTTTGTGAGATAGTTGCAAAGAGACGAAAGGTGATGCCCTACCTCATGAAATAGAAAGAAAAGCATTTTCAGCTTTTCAGGGAATGTCTAAATAAGACATACTCTGTAACACACCAAAATTTTTTTTTTTAATAATTTAACTCAACCATAGTTGGGTTACAGCCACCCAACACATTTTTATATCAATAATTTCGATATAAAATATTTTATAATTGGCTTCAACTCACACACTATAACATTTCAGATAAATTTTTACCTCCCACATGCCATTAGGCTAAATCACATTTGTCTATCCTTATACTCCCAACAAGTAAACTAAATCACATTAGTCCATCCTTATACTCCCAACAAGTAAAATAAGCAATTTAATAAATTTTTAACACAAACCAGTTATTTGGCCTTATAATCATGCCATTTTAACCAATCCAAAGTAAACCAAATATTAAAATTACAGTCATCCAAATTGTACTAAAAATAGAAATAGTTTGAAAGGCATGATTACATTTATATATTCATATAATTGACAATAAACAAAAAGCCCTAATATTGGCAATATAACACATTATAAATCATAAATTAAATACCCAAAAGAGACAGTGGATCTATACCACTAAGCCTTTGGGACTCCTCCACGTGTCACTCGTGGCTCTTCTCCTGAAAATTGTTAACCACATAATGAGACTCAAAAGTCCCAGTAACCAAAGCCAATTTATGATAGTGTATACAAACAGTTAAGTGTGTGCTTACTAAGTGAGAATTAAAAATAATATAATTCCAACAAATATAAGAAATATTATAATAAATACAAACAACCATCCTTATATCCCTCCATTAACCTCGAGCCGTAGCCCTCACTCGGTACTAAATTACCCGGCCAAAGGTAGATTAGCCCGAGCCCTTACAAACCACCTATTGAGCTCCAATAGGGGCGTACCACGTGGCACATAAATACAACAACAATAGCAAGTCTCCCAACACCTCCCATAATAATTAAACAAATTCATAATAATATTGCACAATTATACAATATTACAAAATTCATAATTTTCTCAATAATCACCCAATTAACATGAAATAACACTAATCACAAATTAAAAGCATGGTTACCTTGTGGCTTTTTCAATAAATTATTCCTTAAAATTTCTCTCTCACCACAATCTTCACCAGTAATACAATCTACAAATAACATATTATTTATAAATATTAGTTTCAATTTTTGAAACTAATAAAATAATTCTAATAATAGAATTAAAAATATAACATAATTCCTAATCTCAATCTTAATACAAATCTATAGTTAATACTATTAAGTATAATTTTTAACTCCTCTTTTAATTATCAATAAACATTGATAATCTAAAAATCAAATTTTAAACTAATTTCTATTATCAAAATTTTCTTTTTATTTTATAAATTCGTACCTAAAATACCCAAAAATTAAAAATTAAGTCTCTAGCTTAGAATCATAATCCTATAACCATAATAATTCATTTCTCATCCCAAATAATCATCTAAACCTCAATAAATCAACATATATTTTCAGATCTAGTTTAGAATTTGATCCATAAGCCATAAATTCAAAGATCATTAACAAATTTATACTCTATAACATTTATTATACTACTGACAACCTCAAAAACTATATTTATTCAACATAAATTCATCCCTCTTCCAGATCTTAAATTTTCTACCACTACAAACTCAGAAACTAAAGAAGAAAGATGACTAAGAAAAATTTTTAGAACACTTACTTAGTCTTGAAAAGCTTAAAATCACACCCTAAATATCCTATTAAAAACTCTTACCTTAAAAATTTAGATATTTCGCACCGGTGACTCGCGTTCTCTCCGCCTCAGCTCGCGCGCAGGAATGAATGAGGAAATGAAGGAAGGTGAGTTTTTATAAAAATTCAGTGGGTCCCATATTTTTTTTAATTATTTTCTCTCTCTTCTTCTTCTTTTTTTATTATTATTTTATTATTGTTACTGTTGAGGCGGCGGACGAAGCAAATTCGTTTTCTTCTTCTTCTTCCTTTCTTTCTTGTTTTCACACCTTTTTTTTTATTATTATAATAATAATTTAATAATATTATTTTATTATTATTTTTTTTATTTTTTTTTAAAATTATTTTTTTTAAATTTTCTATTAACCCAAATTAACTATTAAAATTTATATTGGGATGTTACAATTCTCCCCTCCTTTTAGAAATTTTGTCCTCAAAATTTAAAATTAGTAACTATTAACTACTTACTTAATCAAAAAGACGAGGATAATCACGTCGCATACTGTCCTCGGTCTCCCACGTAGCATCACCTGGAGTCGTGCCCTTCCAAATTACTTTAACCAATCTAATGGTCTTGTTTCTTAATTGCTTGTCCTTGTAATCCACAATCCTTTCTGGTTCAGCTTTGAATGTCAAATTCTCCCTGAGTTCAATTTCCTCGGGTTCAATTATATGGAAAGGATGTGGTTGATACTTTTTCAGTTGTGACACATGGAATACGTTGTGTATTCCAGCAATTTGGGGTGGTAATGCTACTTGGTATGCTACTGGTCCAACTCGTTTTAAGATCTCAAAAGGCCCCATAAACCTTGGTGTCAACTTCTTAGCCTTAATAGCTCTTCCAACACCAGTTATTGGAGAGATTTTCAAAAATACATGGTCACCTACTTCAAACTCAAGCGGTCTTCTCCTCTTATCCGCATAACTCTTTTGTCTACTTTGAGCTGTGAGTAATTTTTGCTTGATTAAAGCAATCTTTTGGGTAGTCTCATCAACAATGTCTGGCCCCAAAACAGTTCTCTCACTTAATTCTGTCCAACACAGTGGCGATCTACATTTTCTTCCATACAATGCCTCATAAGGTGCCATCTGAATGCTAGAATGAAAACTATTATTGTAGGCAAATTCAGCTAATGGCAAGTGACTATCCCAATTACCTCTAAGCTCAATGGCACACGCTCTTAACATGTCTTCAAGAGTTTGTATGGTTCGTTCTGTTTGCCCATCGGTCTGGGGGTGGTAAGCAGTGCTAAAACTCAGACGAGTACCCATGGCTTCCTGTAATGACTTCCAAAAGTTTGATGTGAATCTCGGATCACGATCAGATACAATATTTGTTGGCACTCCATGCAATCTCACCACTTCTCTTATGTAGATTTCAGTTAATTTTTCGAGAGAATACTTGATATTAGTAGCCAGAAAATGAGCTGATTTGGTGAGTCGATCTACGATTACCCATATAGTGTCATAACCAGAAGATGTTCTAGGCAATCCTGTAATGAAGTCCATAGAAATGCTGTCCCATTTCCACTCTGGAATATCAAGAGACTGTAGCATCCCGGCTGGTTTCTGATGCTCAATTTTGACTTTCTGACAAGTCAAACAATGAGTTACATGTTCAGTTACATCTCTCTTCATCCTTGGCCACCACCAACCACGTCTTAAGTCATGATACATCTTAGTTGCTCCTGGGTGAATGGTATATTTACTCTGATGAGCCTCCTCAAGTAGGATATTTTTCAATCGAGTATCATTAGGCACACATACTCTACCTTTATATCTTACGACATCATCATCGGTCACATCAAAATGTTCAGCCTTTCCAGCCCCAATCTCTACCCTAATCTTATTCAAATAATCATCCTTCTGCTGCGAAATTTGATTTCTTCCCAAAAATTATTCTCAAATTCAGTAATATGTAGAGCAGCCAAACGATTTTCGACTACTTCTACATTTACTGCATGAAAACTACTCCATAATTCATGTTCTCTGACCATCATGTGAGCAGTATGTACAAGCTTCCTGCTCAGAGCGTCGGCGACTACGTTAGCTTTTCCTGGATGATACTTCAACTCAAAGTCATAATCCTTCAAAAACTCAATCCATCTGCGCTGTCTCATGTTGAGCTCCTTTTGATCAAACAAATATTTTAAACTTTTATGGTCACTGAAGACTTCAAAAGAAGAACCATAAAGATAGTGCCTCCAAATCTTCAAGGCAAATACCACAGCAGCAAGCTCCAAGTCATGAGTAGGGTAATTTTCCTCATGAGGTCCTCAACTGTCGAGAGGCATAAGCCACTACTCGATCCTCCTGCATCAATACACAACCTAAACCTTTCTTAGAAGCATCAGTATACAAGGTATAAGGAGAAGTTGGAACAGGTAAGGTGAGCACCGGTGTGGTG